GTCTGGCTCTAAAGGCAATGGAGTATGCTTCCAGGGTCAAAGTCAAACCACATAGTGACATCTCCAGGGAGCAAGCCTGGACAGTATATATGGAGTTTACTCCTTAACCTTTTATTCTCTCAAAGATATCCTCCTGCCCCTTGCTTGCCTCTACAGCAGGTATCCTCAGACTCAGCGCTCCAGACGTTTTTGGGACTACAACTCCCATCATCCCTAGCTAACAGGACCATTGGTCAGGGATGATGGGAATTGTAGTCCCAAAACAGCTGGAGGGCCAAGTTTAGGGATGCCTGCTCTACAGCAACTACAGGAACTTCCTTCTTTATCATTGAACCCACTGTTGTTCTTGTCTGCTGAATCCACCAGAGCCTGTCTTCGCACGCAGGGGAAGTCCCTCACTCATGGAGGGTTTGAGACCCATTTGAGAATTATTTAGCTGTTACTCCACTTTCCCCCATTCAAATTAGACTCGAGAAGTCCACACCCAGAAGTACTTGAATATGCGGAGTAACTTCAGTTTTTCCCATTGATATCAGTAGGTGTTCATGGTATTGTTCTTGTGTTTCCCCCATCTTCTAATCTGTTGATTCTATTATTCCAATTAAGTACCAATAGGGCATGCGTGCAGATAGTTGTATGCAGGCCCACGCAGAGCTTGTCTGAGGCCCAGCACAGGAGTCTTGTTAGGATAAAATAAATCTGATTTCAGTGTGACCTAAGCAATGCACTAGATTGAAGCCTCTGTGTAGACACAGGTCACTTTTGTTTCACTGTTCCAAAAGGGAGTGTGTATACAACTGAAAAGACATTTGGGAAAGCTAAGCATGATCAGATATTCATATTTAGGAGAGTTAGACTTTAAAGGACCGTTGTGATTTTCTGTTAAGAGAGCATCTCCTAAAACTCAGTCTACCTGCTTCAGCTTTAATCGGGAGCAGCTGTGCATAATTAGGCATGGAAGCTTTAAAAAGAGTTGGCTCCCTTCAGAATGGAAACAGTCAGGGGGTCCCTGCCCAGATTCCAGGACTGGGAGCTTTTCTAAAGATGCAAGAGCTGTCTCCTTTATACTGCTTCATTGCTTAAAGGCAGTTTAGCTTCACAAAAGAACTTCGGCTGTGGATTTCGCTGGCCTGTGCACCAAGAAAACAATATTTTATGAATCTCAACCCCCTGAAACATTCCCTTATGTTTAACTTGAGATTCATGCCGAGTTCTGTCTGGCTATACAGACTTTGGCTTTGGCACAGAGCAATGTGTTACGCTTGCTAGCTTTTCAAAAAAGTACCCAGCAAGAATAGTATGCCAGATTAGTCTAACTGAATGTATGCTAGTTAGAGCTCAGATCGTCACACACAAAATTACTTGCTAAAGTTGGAGGAAAGCCATACTTGATTGTAAATTGCTTAACTTGACCTCCTTTAATGATGTACTAGCTAGGTAGCGGCTGTTGCCATAATAGCTACAACAACATTTTTTTAAAAAAATATCTCTCTTTGTGGGGAATTCGTACACAGACTTCTTTTAATTGCACAGTTTGAGCTGTTTCCTACTGTTGAATAATTTAACTAGGAATTTCACACTACTAAAACTAGTTTTTCCATGAACTTAACAGGGGTGCTCTTCAGTGGAGGATGGCTAACAGATTGAATCCTGACAAGACAGAAATACTGTTTTGGGGGACAGGTGTGGAGGACTCCCTGGTCTTGAATCGGGTAACTGTGCCCCTGAAGGACCAGGTGTGCAGCCTGGGAGTCATTTTGCACCCACAGCTGTCCATGGAGGCACAGGTCAATTCTGTGTCCAGGGCAGTTGTTTACCAGCTCCATCTGGTACGCAGGCTGAGAACCTATCTGCCTGCGGACTGTCTCGCCAAAGTGGTGCATGCTTTAGTTATCTCTCACTTGGAGTACTGCAATGCGCTCTATGTGGGGCTACCTTTGAAGGTGACCCGGAAACTACAACTAATCCAGAATGTGGCAGCTAGACTGGTGACTGGTAGTGGCCACCGAGACCACAAAACACTGGTCTTCAATTAGCCTGAACCTGGTGAGAGAGTGCCCCTTTCAATCTAATAAGCCAGCATCTACTGCTGCTTTGGATAGATGCTTTGAAGATTGTGGCCTTTATGACACCTGTAAGCAAAATGTTCTTGTTCTTTTCAAAAGAGAGTAGACATCTGGTGACCACATAGAACTATCGGGCAGTTTCAGTTCACATTGAGAATATATGCTGCGATAACAACAGAGGCATGTTCTGTACCAAGCCCTGCTTCCAGACATGCAGTAGAATCAAGGAAGCTGAGGAAGAGGATGAATAAGCAGCAAAATATAAACAATAATGTGAAGGGTGGGTTCTGTTGTGATGGCAAACGGGGTCTAGGAAAGATGCAGTAAGTGAACTGTGGGTTCTGTTGTGATGGCAAACGGGGTCTAGGAAAGATGCAGTAAGTGAACTGTGCTGGAAGCTTGTGATGATGAAGAAGAAGCAAAGGCTTTGTGTGGGAATTCCCCGGGGTGGGGGAGAGAAATGATTGGGGGGTGTTTTGAAGGAAAGAGATGTGACAATGGTGGAACCTCAGCTCGTGTTTTATGAACTTCAGCTGCTTCTGCTCTGTAAGAATTACTATTGAGTTCAAATGAACACCTAAGTAATCACCCTTTTTGTATATAAATAACACCTTTGAATGCTCCATTTAAGGGAATATATTATTTCTTCTCAGATTTGTATCTTGAGATATAGTTGACAGTTCATTAGAATTCAGAGGTGTCTGGAACTCAAAAGCATACTTCTTGACGCAAGGGTAAATGGCTCACCATCCACTATGTTGTCGTTTTTTTTAAAAAAAGTTGTTTTTTTAAAAAAAAGATGTTGCATAAAAAATGCTTTTAAAGAAGGAGCATTGTAAATTTTTTTAAAAAAAAACCTAATGTGTCATGACTATGGAAATATCTATTACTATCTTAAGTAATAAGAATTTGTTAAGCATATTTTCCAGAGGGAGAACTTCACACTAATAAGTACAGTGGTGCCCAGTATTAAAACTGAAGATAACAAGGCCTGTGCAGTTACAAATAATAGTGCTTTGTGTGCGCTCTGCTACAGCACTTTTCAGTAATGCTATTTGCATGTAGAGTTTTAATTAAGAGATAACTGTCACCACAGGTTGACTGCAGAAGGCTCTAGTATCCAGCAGAGAGATAAATGCCAGTGCCAAGTTATGCAGGTTGGATAGCATACAGGGGGTCTATAATATAAAATGGATTCATAATTAAAAGTCACTTATTACATAGCCATTGTGTTATAGAGAGAAGAGAATGCCTGAAATCTGGCCATTTTATGGTATAATATATTACCTATGCATTTTTTTTCTGGCTCAGCTGCATATGATCCTGTTTCAACAGAAAATGTTTTATGAACTTTTTGAAGTGTAACTGTATAGTCTGCATATACACACATACTTAGATTTACTTCTGTCATGTCCTAAGGCTAAGACGATATGGTAGGTGGCCACTGTTCCATTTTATAAGATGGGACATTGAATACAAGAGTGACACATCCAAAATCTTCTAATGGACATGATCAAACTTCACATACTCCTCCCCTCTTTCCATACATCTGCAAGGAGGACATTGGAAGCTTTCATTTCCACTTCTGGTTAACTGTGTTTTGTCATGCCATCTGGACTTACAAACTGTGGTTGACATTGCTCTAATTAGTATAAAACACATCTTTAAACTGTGGTTTGTCTAGTTGGCTTATTTGAACTAGCCATAGTTAATGTTAACCATAGTTTCCAGATAACATGTCATTCTGGGTGACTTAAAACAGTAGCCTCCAAGCATCTTGCAGTCACAGAGGGGGGAGGAGACAGGGAAGCATGTGATCCAAAGGCTTGCTATGGTTCATTCATGTCACACTAAACTATGCTTTGATAAAACAAAATTTAAAAAATCCTTCCAGCAGCACCTTAGAGTTTGTTATTCAGATACTGAAGAAGTGTGCATGCACACGAAAGCTCATACCAATAACAAACTTAGTTGGTCTCTAAGTCTAAGGTGCTACTGGAAGGATTTTTTTTTTATGACTACGGCAGACCAACATGACTACCTACCTGTAATTGCATGCTTTGATAAGTAAGACATTTGAATATGTGATCAATGAGTCTATGTGTAAGGTGGGATTTCAACTTGGATCAGTGTATAGTTATAAATTGTTATCTATGCAATGAAATCTGAAAAATTATTCGTGCATGTTAGCAACATGGAATTTTGTGAAAATGGATCTCTAGGTTTCTTATATCTAGCCCAGTCTCTTCATGCCTAAAGGGGGAAAATAGCATTGTCTATTGAAGGAGATAAGAGTCTGAGCAAAAATTTTTGTCAAATGTATAGGTATTTCCCCCACCCCCGCCATTCAAAAATTATTATATTGGAAAGAAAAAGTATTCTATTGCTAGTATAAAATCCATATTCACTTCCTGTCATTTTCTGCCTTGCAATCTATTTGTAAAACATACTGATGTTTGTCCTGTACAGGATTACAGATTCATAAGTGCTCTGTTCTGTTCTACAGACACAATAAAGAAGAAATAGATTAAATCAAGTGGGCTATGCAAATACTTAGTCTCTGAAACCAGAGCAGAACCATTGAGTCAAAGTTTGCAGTCAGAGATGTTTTAAAACTCTAAATTAATATTAAAATAAAGTGAAGCTGAATAATTAAATTATCCGGTTCTGCTATTATATACAACTAGGTTCTAAAAACTAAGTTGTTCAGGAAAACAAGCATCATATATACAATGTCAATACCAAAAGCTATCCATAGCATCATGAATTTCAAATGAACATTTTCATTATGTGCTGTCAGTTTGTTTGACCATGATTTATTAAACTTTTATAAATAGATATAATTTGAAGGATGTAAACAGTGTTTTTTGATCTGTCACTCATACAACCCTAACCATTTTTTTTAAAAAAAAAATTTTTTATTTTTTTCCTTAGGTCCTCCCATGCCATCCTCTTCATCTAGTCAATCCGTTATTGAGCATTTACATTCCCCTCCTCCATCACCTAATCTCCATGACAACCAGAGATGGTTGCTAAGTACTAGTGCTATCCAGCCAGTTCAGGACTCTGACACTGATGAGGACTATACTGCCAGCTCTTATCTAGTACAGACCGGTCCTGTTTCAGTTTTTGCCTCAGGTCATGGTAAGATCAGCACATCTTGTCCATAGTTTAAGTGCACTTTTTATTTTTTTTTATCCTGTTTCTTCATTCTAATGAAATATTAGCGAAGTTGTTTAAGTGCATATGTGAAAGCACAAGTAGATTTACTTTGTTGAAACCAAGCAAAAATAAGAAGACAGAATCACTTTTTGTTGTTTATTTACTTACATATTTAATGAAAAGGTCCTAATTTAATTGAGATGTATTAGCGTTTTCATTATACAGGAAACATTGATTCTTAATTGTACAGAATTGTAGTCAATGCCTGCCTAGCTTTGTAGATGTTTCTTTTTCAGTTGTATCTCATTTAGCTCAGCTTTGCTGTATAAATATACTCTAGTTGCCTGTATCAAAATGACTTCGTAAGCTCACTGATAATCCGTAATGTTTGAACACAACCAGCGCTAGCCCATGACATTTTGCTGACAGAGAAGACCCTCTCTCCTGTATCATTTAAAAAAGCCCAGTGCTGCCAGTGGGACAGCATCCTCCATGGTAAAAGGTAAAGGACCCCTGGACAGTTAAGTCCAGTCAAAGGCGACTATGGGGTGCAGCCTTCATCTTGCTTTAGGCCAAGGGAGTCAGCATTTGTCCACAGACAGCTTTCTGGGTCATGTGGCCAGCATGACTAAACTGCTTCTGGCTCAATGGAACACCATGACGGAAGCCAGAGCACGTGGAAACACTGTTTTTACCTCCCTGCCGCAGCGGTACCTATTTATATACTTGTGCTGACTGGTATGCTTCTGAACTGCTAGGTTAGCAGGAGCTGGAACAGACCAGCAGGAGCTCACCCTGTCAAATGGATTCAAACTGCTGATCTTCTGATCGACAAGCCCAAGAGGTTCAGTGGTTTAGACTGCAGCAGCACCCATGTATCTATCCTCCATGAACACATGAAGGCAACAGGATTAGCTCAGAGTGGCAGGGTAAGCTGCCTGGCATACACCGCTGACCTTCAATACTTTGCCAGTGCTTCCCAGCCCAGTAGCTGCCTCCTGACACAGCTGCTTCACTGTGCAATATGTAGCCTACCTTCTAAGCCCAAATATGCCACACATTTTTTTGCCGTTGTATTATGCATTTATTTGCTTGGCAGCAGTTAAATGTTGGAAATTATGAGAGTTTGTGGTTTTTGAAATTGTTGTTGTTGTTGTTGTTGTTGTTATTTATTGTGAGATAGGCCTCATTGATACATTTAGGGACATTTCAGGTAAAGTAAAGCACAGAGAAGGACAAACAGGGCTCATGATTGGTAGGCAGCTGATAATTCCCAGATCCTATTTGTGCTAAGGAGCACATTGTACAAGTTGACCTTTGCAGAGTGTGAGTGTGGGCATTTTTCGAGTGTGAAAAGTGTGTGTGTGCAATATTAGTGACAGAATCACATCCTTTTTGATATCTTGAAATTTACATAACTACCCAACTAAAAATCAGTTAATATTTAGATAGGAAATTAGCTTCAAAGAAACATTTTATATATATTTTCATCTCTAATGACAGCAACAATCATCTCCTCCCTGCTGCCATTGGCAGGGCTAATAGTTGATTCAGGTGGGATATGATATTTTTGTGGGACAGCAGTGTATGTTCTGGCATGCTGTACTCCACACTAGCGACTCCACACTAGGGTTTCAAATAGAGGTGTGGTAACAGTGAGTTTAAGCACCCACATTTCCATATTTATTATGGGTGTTAAGTTTTTAAGCAGCTAATTTGAAGTAGACCCTAGGTATCCTATTATACTGTGTTATGAGAAAATGTTCCCAACATACAAAAAAGGAGAACCTTTTTGGGGAAATGATGGTGTCCCCAAGTTCATTGTGTTATCAAGGTTCCTGATCATGAGGCAACTTCTAAGCATGTTAGGATGAATATACTTAGGTGTCCCCTTCGGATATTAGTGAGAGGCATGTGAAATTTGGATGGTGCAGTGGGTGCACCTAACTTGCAGGAAGCTTTGGACTGGCATGTACAGTCTTGGCTCTGTATTCAGCCTTAAGGCTGATAAGGCTGAATGTCTCAACAGGGCTAAGGTTTCCATGTCGTGTGGCTGTCAAGCAGACTCTTAACAGTGGTATGAAAATGGGAATCATGGTATAAAAAGAGCCATTTTTCCTTAAATGGTTGCATATTTTATTGCGCTTCATGATTTCTATGCTTTTGGGTTTTTTATTGTTTTAATGCATAAGAATAGTAAGCAGAAAGAAAAATTTCAAAGTATACAAATGAAATGATTTGTAATTCAAAATATAATATGTAGCCACAAAGCAATTTCTAAGTGTTTTTAAGAGTTTTTAAATGTTTAAAATATGTTTTCATTTTATCTTTAATTGCATCTTTATTAGATACTTTTGCTGCCCCAGGTTCCTTTAAGAGGAAGAGGGGATATAAAAAAAATCAATTTTAAAGTATAAAAAAACTAACCATGAAGATGAAGGGGTGAATACACATGGAAATCTTTGAAAGGCTGGATATATATTGCACATACTGGCTAAAAATGGACAGGGAAGAAACAGAGCATCAAGAGTGGAAGATATATCCCTGTGCATTGCATATAATTTATTTGTGAGCAATAAAATTTAGGAAGAGAAAATGTAGGCTGGATAGTAAGAAAACTTTTCTGCCAGTGGATTATATTACAGTGCAGGTGTGTTTCCTGCGGGAAATGAAAAAAGTGCTACCACTTCCTAAGTTTTAAAACAAGAAGAAAAAATTCTGATCAGTGCATCGTTGCAAAAGGTGGCCTGGTTTCTCTAGTATAAGGGCACCTATATTTTATTACTGCAACATTAGTTGACAGATGTGTAAATAGGTATATAAAATTTTAGTGAGCAATCGGCTCATAATATGATAGTGAGCCATTTAGGTGTGGTGTTCTTTCAGTGCTCTAATCGTTGTTTAAATTTGTATTTTTCTTACCACCCCTGAAATGACATTTACGTACTTTTTTTTGTTATCACACAATATTTGACTCCAATAACATTAGCATGTTTAGAACTTGGAGCGTACCAGCAGAGTTGAGTAATCCAGGTGCCTCATAAGACAAAGTGCTGTGCTAGGCAAGGCAAATATATGTTTACCTATCAAACAACAATAATAAATACAAATTTAGCATGCATCAGCAACCAGCAGTAATAGTGGCGAACTGGACAATCTGGGCGGATTTATAAAATCATTTTATACAGCAGTATGTACTCTCTTCATTTATTATATATAAAGCATATAAAATATACCGTATACTACGGAGGTGCATTGCATTCAGATCAGTCCTGAATCCCAAGGTGAAGCAGAGTTTATTTGTCAGAGTTGAAGTGGGATCTGTACAAGGTGGTGCGAATCAAAGTGGGGGCTCTTGAAGCACATTGTGACACCTCAGCAATCCAGACTTTTGTTTTTTAACTGCTGAAAGCAGGAATAATGTCTGCAAGCTTGTTGCAGTAGGTGGTGATAGAGGAGAGCTGAAGGAGAGCTCCATTGTGATTGGCTCATCAGGCTTGTACACAGAGGAAGTGTTTTCACATTTCAATGAATGTCTTTTACTTCTCCCCAACGTAAAAACAATTTAAATAATGTCTAGCACTAAAGCCTTTGGACTGAATTGTCTGCAATTTGGCAGGTTTCTTACCAGGGTCACCTTTCGAATGTCTGCAGAGACTTAGAAGAACAAGCAAGCTTGCATAGGAAGAGGCAATACTTAGGTCTCAAGCATCTCCTAAGCAATGGAGGTGGTTGACTAGTTCTGTAGCTTACAGAGTAAGGCTTATCAAAAACCAACTACAAAGAGATGGTTGTCATAGATGCTCTGGTGTAAACGTTATATAAATTCACAGAAAGAAGAGACTTGTTCTTTTAGTTTGCAATCCTGTACACATTTACCTGGAAATGTCTCATTTAATTCATTGGGGCTTTCTTCTGAGTAGAGGTGTACATGTTTTCACTGTTAGTTTCTTGTCTGCTTAAACAAGAGTACATATTTTGCTTTTTTTCTTTGATGAATTGGTTAGATCATCAGCAAACAAACACATGTAGACTCAGTCTAACAGAAACTGGACTTGAAGAATCAAAGGTTATCTGCTGAGGTTACTGAGGTTTAACATAACCCTGGCATTCTGTGCAAACCTATTCATGTTCTTACATTATTTCCCATCCGTTTTTTTCTCTCTCCCCGCCTTGTATCCCTTAGTGTAGACAAAATAACATTTAGACGGTAGCCCTAAACACAGTTGTTTTAATGACAGTTCAGTTGTGAATAATGGCACTTACTTTCAAGTAAATACATTTAGAACGGGAATAACAGGCATCTTGGTAAAACTGTTTATACACTACAAAGATGTTTATTCAAACACAACAATTTGAAGGGGGGAAACCCTCAGTAAATATGAAGCAAGCTTGTTCATGTACATTTTGCAAAAATGCATGTTGTATTCATCTAAACCCACTGATTTGTTATGATTTATACACAGCACTAGCACAGGAATGCTTGAAGCATTTCTCAGTAGCTAGCCATAAAGGCATTTAATCTCCCCTCATACAAAACCAGACAATAAAGAAGGAGGTCAATATCCTTTATGTACAGTTCAACTAATTTCTCTGTTCAACATGCTTGAGGAAAATGGAGTGGCTTTTAAAAGTCAACAAATGTTCCTGAGTACCAGCCAAATTATTTTTGATCTTATTCTGATCTTTGATTTGATGAATCTAGCATATATATATATATATTTCTTTTAATCATCCTGCCAAAAACCTGTCAGCATTGCTCCTCTAATGTGAAATAAAATGTACAGTTGTTCGGTTTAATTAAGCATTCAATTCTTCTGCCAAGAGCAAATTAAAGTTCCCCATCATCTCAACCTATCCCTACCAAAATCAAATTATACAAAGTGGTGGGCAATTGGTTATAACAAACAGCTGTAGGTTATATTTGCTTTCCAGTTTTTTTAAAAAAAAATATTTAAAAATATATGTTACCTGAGATAGAA